TTTTTTTTTTCTTGAGACAGCGTCTCACTCTTAACACCCAGGCTGGAATGCAGTGGCACAATCGTGGCTCACTGCAACCTCTACCTCCCAGGCCCAAGCAATCCTCCCACCTCAGCCTTCTCAGTAGCTAGGATCACAGGTGCATGCCATCACACCTGGCTAATTTTTTAAATTTTTGTAGAGATTGGTTCTCCCTGTGTTGCCCAAGTTGGTCTTGAACTCCTGGGCTCAAGCAGTCCTCCCACCTTGGCCTCCCAAAGTCCTGGGGTTACAGGTGTGAGCCACTGTGCCTGGCCTCCTTTATGCTTTTTTTTTTTGAGACTGAGTTTTGCTCTTGTTGCCCAGGCTGGAGTGCAATGGCGTAATCTTGGCTCACTGCAACCTCTGCCTCCCAGGTTCAAGGGATTATCCTGCCTCAGCCTCCTGAGTAGCTGGGATTACAGGTGTGTGCCGCCACGCCCAGCTAATTTTTTGTATTTTTAGTAGAAACAGCTAATTTTTTGTATTTTTAGTTTCACCATGTTAGCCAGGAGGTCTCGAACTCCTGACCTCAAGTGATCTGCCCGCCTTGACCTCCCAAAGTGCTGGGATTACAGGTGTGAGCCACTGCACCCCACCTCCTTTATGCATTTTAAAAAAATTTTTTTGTTGTTTTTTTGTTTGTTTTTTAAGTCAGAGTTTCACTCTTGTTGCCCAGGCTGGAGTGTAACAGTGTGATCTCAGCTCACTGCAACCTCCACCTCCTAGGTTCAAACAATTCTCCTGCCTCAGCTTCCCGATTAGCTGGGATTACAGGTATGTGCCACCATGCTCAGCTAATTTTTTGTATTTTTAGTAGAGATGGGGTTTCACCATGTTGGCCAGGCTGGTCTCTCTCTTTTTTTTTTAACAGCTGCACGCTAAAAAAATTTTACGTTGAGTCCTAAGGCTCTAAATTAAAATAATTTTAAAAATTTTTTATTGAGATATAATTCACGTATATTAGAATATAAAATTCACCATCTTAAAGACTACAATTCAGTGGGTTTCAGTATATTCACAAGATTGTGCAGCCATCACCACTATCGAATTCCAGAACATTTCTGTCACCCCAAAAATAAAACTTTGTACTCATTAGCAGTCACTCCCCATCCTCTACTTCCTGTAGCCCCTGACAGCCACTAATCTGCTTCCTGTCTTTGTGCATTTGCCTATTCTGGACTTTTTATATAAGCAGAATCATATAATATGTAGTCTTTTGTGTCCAGCTTCTTTTCACGTAGCATAATGTTTTTAAGGCTTATTCATGTTGTAGCACGTAATAAAAACAATTTTAGAAAATGAAACTAATACTGAACCAATTAAGTATTAATAGAGGTGATTTCTTTCTAAACTCAGGAAGTTGAAAAATTCAAGAGCATCCATTAGTCAACAAGGAGCAGAAAGCAGCAGGAGAAAAGGGTGAAAGATTGGCAGAGGATCGGGGAACAGAAATGTTGACAATGGAAAGAAGAATTAAAAAAATATAAGGAAGGAGTAGAGTAATTGAGCTCTCTGTTAACTGAAATCAGTTTTATGGATAAGACTTTCTGAATGTACTTCTTACTTGAAACAAGTCATTCTAGAAACAAGATGATCCTTTTCTGGTCATTGCATATTCTCTTACTCTCTCATTTAGTTGGCTGCTGGATTCTAGACTTCCCAGATATAGACCCCTTTTGATATTTGACAGAATTGTGCTGGGGTCTCTTCTTAATTTTTGTGGCATCTTTTCTTTACTGTTTGTTTGGCCTTTTGTCTAATGATCTCTATGAGCATCAGGAGACAGTGCTTTCTTCTGAGGCTGCTTCCTCAGCAGTACCTGTGATCCCAAGAATTCCCAGGGAAATGTATTTAACTATATGAAATGCATTTTGCCTTCTAGATATTAACTTGGCACAGGCTGGTGTTGGAGTTGGCTTTGTGGATGGCATTTATTTTACTTATTTTAAACCTCCTGCTTATTAGCAACTCTGCTTTAGCACATAAGTTTATCTGAGCAGAATAGGCAAAAGCCTGCAAATGGTTTGAATTTAAGATGACTGATGATAGCAGCACTGTGCACTTGATTATCAACTCTGCTTATCTCTGTCCATGGAGGGTAACAGTGGCACAGACAATTAAACCTGTCATTTGACTTTGGACGGCCTCATCATATTCTGGCATCCTTAGATCTTGATTATATTACTCCTAAAGACCAAGTTACTTTCATTTCACTGATAGTGGGCAAAGAAAAGCCAACCTTAAAAAAAAAGTTTCAGGTTGTGTGTGGTGGTTCATGCTTGTAATCTCAGCACTTTAACAGGCCAAGATGGGAGAACCGCTTGAGCCCAGGAGTTTGAGATCAGCCTGAGCAATGTAGTGAGATGCTGTCTCTACAAAAAACTTAAAAAATTAGCTAGGCATGGTAGTGTGCACTTGTAGTCCCAGCTACTTGGGAGACTCAGGTGGGAGGATTGCTTGAGCCCAGGAGTTCAAGGCTGTAGTGAGCTATGATCACACCACTGCATTCTAGCGTGGTAAGTAAGACCATGTCTCAAAAAAAAAAAAAAAATTACATGGATCATTCACAAGCAGCCTATGTGGTTGCTGGGAGCCAAGGATGTGGTTCTTTGGGCATAGATATCATTGCATGGAGGTAACAGAGTCTCTGTGTATGAGAATGGCTGCTTATTGATTATCAGATCAGAATTGGCAGATTAATGTCTTGGTAGAAATCACAGATGCTTTTATAGCTCTTAATCTGTACTTTACTGTGAGGCATTTGCCTTTATGTTCTTAAATTAGGTGATTTACTTTCACTGAAAGCTATTTCTTTTATGGAAGTGTTAAAAATGGGACAAAAGAAATAACAGTTATTGCACTAAAAAGGAAAAATTATATATATTATATATGTATTTATATAATATATAAAAAACATAGAAAACCTCTATCCATCCTCTTAGAGCTTAGCCATGCCGTTCTTTAACAACTGTTACTTTTCAGCTCTTGGAGATCCCAGGGGTTGAGATGAAAGCATGAACCCTAAGAAGGGATATTATTTGCCATCACATACCTATATGTGCATCTCACACTAAAATTGTGCTTCTTGAATTTTGATGTGCAGGAGCATCATTTGGGCCCCACCTTTCAGAAATTCCCTGACTTAGTCGATCTGGGAAAGATATAAGAATCTGTTTTTTTTTTTTCTTTTTTTTTTTTTTTTTGAGACAGAATGTCGCTCTGTCGCCAGGCTGGCGTGCAGTGGCGCAATCATGGCGCAGTGCAACCTCCACCTCCGGGGTTCAAGCGATTCTGCTGCCACAGCCTCCTGAGTAGCTAGGATTACAGGCATGCACCACCATGCCCAGCTAATTTTTATATTTTTAGTAGAGACAGGGTTTCACCATGTTGACCAGGATGGTCTTGATCTCCTGACCTCGTGATCTACCTGCCTCAGCCTCCCAAAGTTTTGGGATTACAGGCATGAGCCACTGTGCCCAGCCAAGAATCTGCATTTTTAACAAGCCATCAAGTGTTTGTGACAGAGGAGGTCTAGGCTTTAAGAAACACTAGTGGGAGTTTGGGATTGGGACAGGAGAGACAGGTCTCAGTGATCCTGCCAGAAGGGAGAGGAGCAGGGAGGGGTGGGGACAAGAGACAGAAGTGAGGGGAGTTCTTAAAGGGAAGTGAAATGTGTCCGAAACAAAATGTGTGTTCAAGTTTGCCTAAGGCTTTGATGGTGTAGACATTATGTGGGAGGTAATTTCTGTTTGTGCTGTGTTTGGCATGGTGCAAAGATTGTAGGTAGGTACCCTGAATAAAAGTATCTGGGCAATTTTAAAGTGTGCAAAGGTCAGCCTCCACTTCAGCTCAGCCTCCCTATGACAGGCTCTAGCTTAGTACAATATTGCCAGTCCGCTCTGGAGTCCAGCGATAGAAGAGGAGGATAAAGAAGAAAATTTTACATTTGCTAACCACCTCTTCCACTCACATCGATAGTACCCTGCTAATTTTCTCTTTCTGCCCTGAATTCTTATGATGTCAAAGTAGTCTTTTGCATGGAGAGGAATTTAAGCCCTGGGAGAAAATAGGATTTCCCCAAGAGAGAGCAAAAAGAGGAGGCCCGGACATTCAGACATTCAATCAGGCAGGATATACTGGATATCTCCTATGTATAAGGTACTATGTTGGCCTTGAGGGTACAGGGGGAACAAGATAGGCATCATTGTTGCCCTTATAGAGCTTCTAGTTTAGCAGGGGAGACAGACATGTATAGAATCTGTCGTACAACTAATTATTTAATAAAAGTATAATTGTTATAAAGACCTCAAAGGAAATGTATCAGGTGTTGTAAGATCATGTAACAGGTGGTTTTGCTTAGTTGAAGAGAAAAACTTTAGGGGCATGAGGAATTAGAAAGAGCTAGTGAAAAGAAGGTGTAGCAACCAAAGAGGTAGGTGAAGAAACAAATTTGTGGTACATTAAGAAACCAAGAAGGAGGAATTTCCAGAGCATATTTGTGGTCATGAAAGTCAAATGGTGCCATGATGGAAAGGAATATGGGAGTTGAGACTGGTTTGCTACATATGGTGATAAAAACTGTTCTAGAAAAGTTTCAAGATTAATAGGACCAAACACAGATTACAGATGGTTAACAAATGAGAAGGTGGTGAAATCCTAAGTACTATAATGAGCTCTTACACTCACTTTTTGGCCACTTAACATGAAGTACTTTGTAATATTCTGGCTGTGCTTGCTTTGTCTCCCTAGCTAGATTGACAGCTTCTTGAAGGTTATGATGATAAACCTAGCCCCTAGCACTATATCAACATGTAGCATTAGAGTCACCACCTGGAAATCTAAGACCTTGGATCTATCTGGTGCTGGTTCTGCCACACACAAGCCATGTACCTTGGGCATGATCATCTGTTTCCTCATCTCTAAAATGGTGATATTCTTAACTTTACTATCACTTGGGCTTTTGAAAGGATCAAATAGGGCAGTATATAGAAATGAACTTTGTGAATTGAAAATTAGTATTCTATAGAAGATATTGATAATATTCAGTGAATGACAACAGCTGCTTTACATCGGAAATTCTGTGATAATCAGTTTTTTGTTTGTTTTAGATTTGTTCCTTATATTGGAATTGTGACAATCCTCATGAATGACTATCCTAAATTTAAGGTAAGGGCCTGTATTATTTGTTTTATTAAAAATGTAATCTTTTGGGCCAGGTGCAGTGGCTCACGCCTGTAATCCCAGCATTCTGGGAGGCCAAGGTGAGTGGATCGCTTGAGCCCAGGAGTTCATGACCAGCCTGGGCAAAATAGTGAAACCCCGTGTCCATTAAAAAAAAAAAAAAAAAAGTATTAGCCTGGGCGCAGTGGCTCACACCTGTAATCCCAGCACTTTGGGAGGTTGAGGCAGGCGGATCACCTGAGGTCAGGAGTTCGAGAACAGCCTGGTCAATATGGCAAAACCCTGTCTTTACTAAGAATACAAAAAAATTAGCCAGGTGTGGTGGTACATGCCTGTAATCCCAGCTCCTGGGGAGGCTGAGGCATGAGAATTGCTTGAATATGGCAGGGGGAGGTTGCTGCTGCACTCCAGCCTGGGTGACAAAGTGGGACTCTGTCTCAAAAAAAAAAAAAAAAGAAAATTATTTAAAGAAATGTGATCTTTTGCTTAGTATTGGAAACTTTTAAATGGATTACAGCTAAAAGATGAAAGAATAATTGGGTAGTTTAGTAATATATTCACAAAGACCAGTTTATTAATTAACTCTAAGAACCCTTGAACTTTTCAATGCTTCTCTGATGTGTGGTTCTGTGTTTATTTTCTAGTATGCAGTGCTCTTTTTGCTGGGTTTATTCGTGCTGGTTCATCGTGAGTAAGAAACCTGCCTTGCTGTTCCTGGGAAGATGCCATACTTTTCGTTACTGGATGTTTGGAGTAGATACTGATCTGTGATTGGTGGAATGGAGAACACACGTGTTGGTGCTTCTTGGTAGCACTGGTTTGCATTAGTTTATGTTTCCACGCCAGAGTTTGTGTGGGCGGGCACATGTGCACCACAGAGTGCACTTGAGGGGACTTTCAGTCACAGGATTTCATAATTGTCATTGTCACACTTTCACATTTTTGTACATCAGTGAATTTTTTATATTAAAAGGTTGAGCCAAAGCCCCCAGTGTTTGTATTTTGAAGCCAAGCTTCACTTCTAAAGTGCCTACAGAGACTTGTAAATGAAAATGCAGCTCTGCATGAGTTTGAAACCGTCATACCTCCTTCTAATAGGAATGGCATATACTGAGGTGGTCGTAAGTCTTAACTTTTAAAATTTTAAATAAAAGACTTTGCACATTGAACCCCTTATCCCTGAATTGTGTTTGTTGGGAAAGCTTCTGAAATTTGCCTTCCTTGGCTGGTTCTTAGTACTCCTTGGGGGATATAAAGACTTAGTGTGAACAGTCCTTCAGCTAAGAAGGTTGCTCTGATACTAACAACTGGTGTTTTTTTTTTTTCTGTTTTGCGTGTGTGTGTGTGTGTGTGTGTGTGTGAAGCAAAAGTAGCCACTGACATTCATAGGAAATCTCTTAGTCATAAAATTGATTCTTCCCATGACTCAGATGTGTATAAACCCAGTTAGTGTTGCTGAGAGGTTCAGAAAATCTCACTTGGTTATAAAAAGTCATAACCCTTTCTACACTTGAGGTATTCTCAGCCCTTTCTACACCATGGCAAGTGTGTGTTAGCATCTAGAGGCAGAGGAAAGGGCTGGAGGACAAGCATTCTGCTTGGTGTCTTTAAACTCTCATTTGTCTGAAGCTGTTCTCTCAAGTGCCTGACTTTGCATTTCTCTAATGCAGACTTAAAGCAGGCAGTTTAAAGTAGTCAGTGCACAACCCAATTGTATGTTTTCTTTTAATATCAAGGCAGTGAGGGAAATAGGGAGTATAGAGTAAATATCTTTTGAGCACCAAATACTCTTAATTCTATCTGTTCTCTTGTATTAATGTGAAGTCTTAAAGTGAGTTATCTGTGTTAGGCCGCTTGAACAGTTTCTATTATTTGTTCAACTGCAGTGGAAATCAGTCTATGCGGTAATGCTAATGGCATGAGAACAGGGACAATTACTCTTCTGAAGCCCTCCCCTGTGGAGAATAGTACCTTCCTAAACCCATTAACCAGGCTTTAGCCTTCCAACTTTGGATATGGGCTCTTAATATTCTCAACAGAATATGAAACTTGGCAAATCACTGCTATAACAAATGCTTTTTTGAACCTGTCTGTGAGGCTTGTATAGTACTTGTATTTTCTCATGAACCAGAAGCTGAACATTCCTTGTGTGGAATGGCAGAAAATTGCCATTTATTCCATTTTTCCCCCCTTATCACCTGTGGAAGATGCAGTTTACTGCTCAGCCTAATCAGTACACTGGTTTTTGTACCAGCCTTTCTAGGACTACTCTAGGGGAGAAGCAGTGTGCTTTGCTGGCCAAGGTTGGGATCTTAGGGTTCTCTGTGATCCTAGCTTGCCTGAGTGTAAACATCCGTGTAGGCCGGGCGCGGTGGCTCAAGCCTGTAATCCCAGCACTTTGGGAGGCCGAGGCGGGTGGATCACGAGGTCAGGAGATGAGACTATCCTGGCTAACATGGTGAAACCCCGTCTCTACTAAAAATACAAAAAACTAGCCGGGCATGGTGGCGGGCGCCTGTAGTCCCAGCTACTTGGGAGGCTGAGGCGGGAGAATGGCGTGAACCCGGGAGGCGGAGCTTGCACTGAGCCGAGATCGCGCCACTGCACTCCAGCCTGGGAGACACAGCGAGACTCCGTCTCAAAAAAAAAAAAAAATCCATGTACTTGTATCTTCATCTACTCCAGATTTTTCCTCATAAATGTACTGGGAGGAAAACATTAATACTTTTTTCCCTTGCATATTTTCACAACCAGTATTACGTAAGTATTATTTTTCCTCCTTTGCTGGATGCAAGCAACAACTAAATTTCTCTAAAAAGGTAATCAAATCATTTAATAATATTTGAGTCACTCCATTAGCCAAAAATAAAAAGATTACTTGTGGGGAGGGATATTAAATTCCCAATTTTTATCTTGTCTAGTGCTAAACATAAGACTTAAAATGGGAGATTTTATTAGCAAATATATCCTAAAAGCTCTTTGCAAATGTGAGAAATGCCAGAGAGGTTTTCCTTGCTAACTGAGTGGCGTGATAAGCTCTTTGAGATTTGGCAGGGCAAGTGGAGAATTGGGAGAGCTCAACCATTGTGAGTGAAAGGAATTGAAGAGGAGTATGAAAACTATCAAACTTTAAATGAGAAATTGATAATGGGATTATCTCTTTGGCTGTTACTTGTCTGCTCTTATACCTCCGGCTAATCAATCTCTTTATATTATTTCCAATGTCTGTCCTCAGCTCTAGTTCCATGTCTCTGTTTTCCTCTGGACACTTCCACTTGATTGTCCCATCTTTAAACTCAAGTTCCTGAAAACTTCCCCTCCAAATTTCATGTTTTATGTGAAGGAATATTCACCTAGATTTGTCATTTCCCTACCATATCTAGCCATGTACTAAGTCCTCCATTTACCCCATCATTCCATTCTCATTGCCATCACCTAAATCCAGAAATACTTATTCAGTGGCTCCCTGTTGCTTGTGTACTGGTCCCCCTGCCGTGTGCCAGTCTGTGCCTATTTTGGATAATTACCACCTGTTATTAATAATTAGTTTTAGCCTGCCTTCTACTTTCAGAAGTGCTTCTTGTGTGGACCATAAATTGTGTGTTCATACTACCTTTTCCCTACATTGAATTCAAACTTTGAATTCTGCCAACAGTAAGCATCTTAGGAGTGCAAACATCCTTGTACTTATGTCTTCATCTACCCAGTCCCTCCTCCTCATACACTTATTGGAAGGAAGACATTAATGCTTTCCTCACTTGGGCTGGGCGTGGTGGGTTACAACTGTAATCCCAGCACTTTGGGAGGCCGAGGCGGGCGGATAACTTGAGGTCAGGAGTTTGAGACCAGCCTGGCCAACATGTCTCTACTGAAAATACAAAAATTAGCCAGCTGTGATGGCGTGTGCCTGTAATCCCAGCTACTTGGGAGGCAGAGGCAGGAGAACTGTTTGAACCTGGAAGGCAGAGGTTGCAGTGAGCTGAGATTGCACCACTGCACTCCACCCTGGGTGCTGGGTGACACAGTTAAGACTCCATCTCAAAAAAAAACACTTTTCTCATTCACAACCAGTTGTCTAAAAGTATTATTTTTTTCCTCCTTTCCTGAGTGTTTCCACTTGTATTATGTCATCTTATTTCTGTTTATCTGAGTCTTACCATCTTCACAAGTTCTGCGGTCACTCAGCATTTGCACCCTTACACTGTTTGTTTAAGTTTGTGGATATGACCTTGAGGTCCTTGGCAGATTGTGAGCTCCCCCAGGACAGGAGCATTTCATAGACGCTGTACTGTCTTTCCTCAGTAGCCTGAAACAGCATATATTAAGTGTTCAGTATAATCATGCATTGTAGCCAGAGGCAGTAGCTTCAGTTAGCATTGTTGTTGAGCTATTATTTGGAGGCAAAGCATATGAATCATTAAAGTGATCTGTACTTTCCTGTTATTTAGTAAGTACATTTTCTTGGTCTTGCCAAATTTGAATCTGAAAACTTTCTCTGTCCACGGTTCCATTTAAACAGCATGTACCCTTCCCAGATTTTTAACTGTTAATCCTGCTTCCTTCTTTTTTGTATGTGTCCTTAGGCTTAGGCTCTTCTCGTGTCTTCTTTCTTGATGGCAGAAGTATTGTCATTTGTTATTTTTCTTAAGGAATCACAGGCTTCCTTCTTAGAGACCCAGGGCTTGGAACAGAGAAAGTCTCTGTTATCCTGAGTGCATTTCTTGGTATTTGCATAAGTCTTTTACCAAGTCCAGCTAACCTCTCAGAACATGGGGAGGCTGATTTCAGAATCTGAGGGGCGGGCCTCTTATGACATTTGCCACTGTTAAACTTCAGAGATGACCCAGCTGGTTCTAGCTAGGTAAATGGATGTCTACCTTCATCAAGCAGCTCTTTCAGTCAGGATGGCCTGTTCAGGTTGTTTTATGGCCAGGTATATCTTCACCACTATTGTCTCCTGCTAGAACAGTAAGTAATACCAGATAGGCTTTCAGAAGTAAAATAGCAAATATGACCCTTCACACACAACTATGGTGACTGTAAAGCCACCATAGTTATTGTCATTCAATTAGCAAATAAAACCTCTCTGAATGTAGAAAGAATGCTGTGTAACCTAAAAGCATTATCAAAACTAGAATGTGCAGGGCTTACCAGAAAATGGTGAAGATGTTGCCTTCCATGTGTCATTCTATGCCCTAAGGATTTTTCCAGCTGCACTCTTACCAGACCTCACATTTTTGCATCCTGGACATTGGTCTTATGGTACAGACGTTCTGGCTTTTTTATGCTGGTCACTCTGCCTGGAGTGCCTGGTCACTTCCGTACCTACTAAAAGCTTTCTCATTCATTTAACAGACATTTATTGAGCATCTACTCTGTGCCAGATTTGGGGCTAGGCCCTGGGGATACAAAGATGATGGATAAGACCATGTCCCTCATGCTCAGTACCTTAACAGGGGCAATGGACATAAACAGGTTTTTCCACATAGGATCTTAAGTATAATGATATTCTTCCAGCAATCACAAAAAAATAAGTAAATAAAAATAAGTGCGATGATAGAGAGACGCTCAGGGAGCTCCAGAAAGGGGTGTTTCTTACTCCGGATGGAGCTTCTGAGTCCGTGTCATGCTTCCTGCTCCGCACTGTCCTGTACTTTGTTCGTGCTCCTCTCGAACATTGGCCTCAGAGTGGTTTGCCTTATGTGTATCTCTCTGCCCCACCAGAGGGCCAACTCCTGGAGGGCATTAAGACAGTCAGCCTCTGATTCATCCTTTGATATCCACTAGTCCCTACTGCAGTGCTTTGCATATTTTAAACTTATTTATGCTGTCTTGTTCCATAAAGATACCTCCAGTACTATGTGGTGAAGTAGAAAATTGAAGAATTCAGGGTTGAGAGAAATGTGGGAGAAGAAAAGGATGAAATCAGAGGTGAGGAGGCCAGGCACAGTGGCCCATGCCTGTAATTCCAGCACTTTGGGAGGTTGAGACGGGCAGAACACTTGAGGTCAGGAGTTCAAGACCATCCTGGCCAACATAGTGAAACCCCGTTTCTACTAAAAATACAAAAATTAGCCAGGTGTGGTAGCTGTCACTTGTAATGCCTGCTACTTGGGAGGCTGAGGCAGGAGAATCTCTTGAACCTGAGAGGCTGAAGTTGCAGTGAGCC